CTGGGACCATTTCCAGAGGCTGTGTACCAGAAAAAATGGCTGATAGTTGGTGTCGACTACTTCAGTAAATGGATCGAGGCCGAAGCAGCCTCGAACATTACAGAGCAAACTGTCAGAAAATTTATCTGGCAGAATATCATCATTCGATTTGGCATCCCGAGAGTATTTGTCTTCGATCATGGGAGGCAATTTGATAACTTACCGCTGAAGCGGTATACAGATCAGTTCGGCATCAAACTGGATTATTCAGCGGTATGCCACCCGCAAAGTAACGGACAAGCCGAAGCTGCAAATAAACAAATCTTAAATGCCCTCAAGAAGAGGGTGGAAGATCAAAAGTCCAAGTGGCTGGAGGAGCTCCCTGGAACCCTTTGGTCCCTTCGGACAACTGAAAAAGAGGCAACGGGCTATTCACCTTTTGAACTGGTGTATGGTGCCGAAGCCGTCCTTCCAGTGGAAATTGGCTCTGAGAGCCTACGAGTGCACCACTTCTCGGCTGAAAATGAGCGACTGATGAGGGAATCTCTCGATTTCCTCGACGAAGTAAGAGACTCAGCCCGAGACAGAATGGCCGCTTATAAGCAGAGAATCAGCAGATTTTATAACCGAAGGGTCCATGCAAGGCCTCTCAAAATTGGAGACCTTATCCTTCGGAATGCTGCTGCAGTTCAGAAAGGCCGAATCCATGGGAAACTCTCAGCTGCATGGGAAGGACCTTATGAAATCTATGATGAGCTTCAGCCAGGGACATACCGACTTCGGCAGTTGGATGGAACTGAGTTGAAAAATCATTGGAACGCTGATGTACTGAAAAAATATCATGTGTAAACCCTTCGGGGCAGAACAATCTTTGTAAGTACATTTTGAACAAATGAAAGGCCTTGGAGCCGCCATTTATATAAATGTTTACAACTTTTTATCCTTTCAAAGTTTCCTTTGTTCTATCTACTCTTTAAGGGTTTTTTATTCAGCCTCGTCTGAAACCTTCGCCTTCGGGTAACTGGGTTTCAGATTGCTGACAAAACTCGTCTTTTTAAAGAACACTGGTCTTTCAGCTGAAGTCAAACTTCAGTAAGACTTGTTCTCCAAAGACATGAGTCCATGGACAATTCTGGGATATTGCCTTAACTGAGCCTTGTATCCCAGAGAGCCATTATCCGAAACATTGCCTTAAGTTGGCCCTGTGTTTCAGGTATCCATTTTTCAAAGATAGACAGAAAATCAAGGATAACAGCAACAGTTGAAAATTGTTTATTCAGCCTCGTCTGAAACCTTCGCCTTCGGGTAACTGGGTTTCAGATTGCTGACAAAACTCGTCTTTTTAAAGAACACTGGTCTTTCAGCTGAAGTCCAACTTCAGTAAGACTTGTTCTCCAAAGACATGAGTCCATGGACAATTCTGGGATATTGCCTTAACTGAGCCTTGTATCCCAGAAATCTATTATCCGAAACATTGCCTTCAGTTGGCCCTGTGTTTCGAATACCCATTTTGAAGAAATAAAGAAATTGTTTATTCAGCTGAAGCCATACTTCAATTTCTGGGGGGGCAAGAAGACATGAGGAGAGATGACGCGCTTCTGATTATATCTCCAGAAATGGGAATACGGGGAGTCCGCGTTTCAATTTCTCTTAAATACCCCACTAAGTAACCGTTAAACACACGACCTAGCGATTAAACTGCCCATTATCCGTCCAACTTCCACAATCATCCGCCTTAACCGTTGTTATCTCATTAATTACGGTTTAAATTCAAATTTTTGGATTAATTAAATCATTCACTTCCCTCCTTTTCTGAATTAAATCAAACCCGACCCGTCATCCTTCCAAATCGGGTCTGGGGGGCAAGTTGTTTGGGTCCAATTTAGTCCAATTGGGCCTAGGCATTAAATGATCCAATTAAAAGCCCAAGGTCAAGGTTCAACTCTCCAATTGTGCTAAAGTCAAAGGTCAGCTCTCAAAACAAGCCAATTGGGCTAAGGCCCAACTTCTCCATGTATGAAGAGGTATAAAAGCCATCAATATCACATATTCACATATTCACATATTCTCATATACTCTCATATATTCTCATATATTCAAGCAAAGCCTCAAGCAACTAATTCTCTTGCATAGTGTTCTCTTTCTACACATTGTACTGACTTTAGCATCGGAGGGGCCTTCCTCGGCAACACCCCCGAGGCTAGTTTACGTGTGTTTACTGTGCAGGAAACCTTCGGCCCAACATTACTTGGACCGAATCTAGTCTTCTCCGTTTCAGCGGACCTTCGGCAAGGTCCCATTGTTTTCACCCGAAACATACAGTTTGAAATTGACTTGGTTGATGTTTGTAATTGATTTTAATTATTTTGATTAAGTGTATTTGACATTTGTTGATACTCCGTATTAAACAAGTGTATAAGTAAGAAACATGAAGTACGGAATATGTTGTTATTAGGATGAACTCCGTATACTTTAAAATTGCACGCCTTTTATAAATTTTTTTTTTCTTAGTTTTTACTTTACCACTACAACCACTTTGGGTTTTTTCCAAATCAAATGCATTGGATGCTTTTGCTTTTAATTAGTAATTTGATTAAGGCACCATATTTTTCAATCCCTTTTTCAGCACTAGGACAAAAAAAGTTCTTTCCGATTTAAATCACACAAGTGTATGAGTAATTACTAATTTGTAAAATAACAAACACAATTATGGTCATATTGCAAGATTATTACTGTCATAGTCTGTGACTATACACATGGCAAGAGTAAGGAATTACGGATTTTCAAAATTTAGATAAAGATGCCAAAAGTCATAATAATCAATGCTATTACGGTATTACTAAAAACCCCGCCATGTGTTGTTTTATCCCTCTTAATACTATTTCATATTATCCAAACAACACCGTTATCTACTCAATTCTGGCATTAAATAAAATATGGCTAGACAATTTTATTTTTTTGAGAGCTACAACTCCTTTAAAAAGATTTGTCATATGTTATACATCTAAATCCCCTGCATCAAGTAGGTTAATAGTTATAATCATGATGTTAATAAGATTGGAGCTTAGTATCATTTGTGGTCCTAACTCCTAACAGATAGTGACTATAGCATGAGAAAAGCTTATTATTCAAGTAGAATTGTAGAAAGTAGTCATAATAATTGCATACTTAATTAAAGTACTCTTCCTGTCAAAAAAAATAAAATAAATTAAAGTACTCTTACTTACTTGCTAATTATAGACAAAAAAATTTTGCTAACAAATCATAAATGCCAAATATTGTTTAGATTCTTGTTTGTAAAGCTAAGAGCTGAAAACACTACTGCTTAATATTTTAAATTATTAAAAAGAACTTATCGTAAATGATTAAATAAGACAATTTGCGGTCGCACTCTAAACGTCAAGTCTAAAGAAGATTACAATTGATAAAGTAAAATACTATTGCTACACATAAAAGAATATACTCATGCTATTATATCTAGAAGTTTGGTAAGTTTGGCCCGCAAACATGCCAAACATCACATAATATATAATTATGGGAGTATTGATTTTGTAACGGTTAGGTTTGAATCCTCTAGATCCTGCCTAAGACGATATTTGTTATTGTTGTACAGTATATGTTATATGATCAAATTATTAGATAAGAATTATAATAATTGGTTTTGCCGCGTAGATATAAACAAAATTTCCACCTACTTTTGGTACGGATTGTTAAAATAATTAAATATGCAATCAATCCACACAATATACTATAGGGGGTTAAGACGAAGTGATAAATGATTTTATGATTCAAAATAATGCAAGTCTCAAGAAGAATAAAATAAGTTGCTGGGAAACAATGGCGGTGTATTTGTGACATTGATACCGGCATTCGAGTTTTCAATTCCCACACTCCATACTTCCTACATGTACTGAATGCTTGGTCTAGCCAAGACTTCGTACACCGGAACAGTAGGGATGTGTCACCCTCCTACCGCACACATTACCAAAAAGTCTCACATTGTTTTGTTCCCATACTTCGTTGCTTTTTCCCTACTTGTACCCTTAGGGGGTGTTTGGTATGGAGTTAATATAGGAAACGGAATGAAAATAAATTAGGAGGGGAAAGGGTAACAAATAGTGTTACCCTTAGTAGTTGTTTGGTACATCAAAGGAAACGGAAACAATTATCACCATTCCGTTTCCTTTTGTTTGGTATAACAAACGGAAACGAAAAATAAGAATGAATAATACAATATTGTCTATGCTCATATTTTACGGTTAAAAAAATAAAAAAATAACCTAGATAAAAAATATTGTCTATGCTACATATTTTACGGTTAAAAAAAACAATATATATATACAAAGCAAAGTTGGCACTCATTAATTATCCAAACATTGACTAATAATATGTCCATCATTATATGAATAATCCCAACACATAACTTGTATTGCTCAAGTTGCAAATGTTCAACAAAAAAACAAAGACATGACAACAATCAAATGCTACTTCTTCTTAAGAAGATCAATTGCATATTGTTTTTTCATGTTAAATGGTGCTTGACAGAAGATACGAAGTTTATGTTCTTCCGCCATGAGAATAGTAGCAACCTCTAAAGCTTCGGATGGAGAAATGCCATCTAACTTCATCACCTCATCCAATACCTTGTTCACCTTTTCATCCATCCTTTGCTCCCTTTCTTCCGCTTTAGACCATGCACTAGCCATAGTCCCGAGATTAACATTGATATTTTCAAATATCTTCCCAAAATTGTTGGAAACATCATGGAGAGAGGCCACCAAATCATCATCATCATTCCTACACAAACTCTTCAAATTTACCTTGTTCTTTCCTTTCACCTTAACCTCCTTTGCCTTTATAGAGCGTTTTGCCATTTTTGAAGGAGTTATATGATCATCCTCTATCTTCACGGGGCGTTTTCCGGATTGACTTGTAGAAGAATAAGTGTCCGAATTAGTAGAATTCACATCATCTTCTTCATCACTCTCGACAATCAATGGTTGCTTATCAATCTCTTGATCAATACCTTCTATGGCATCAACGAATGACTCACTTACATCTCCGGTAGCTTTGTCTTTTGCATATATTTCTGCTAGAGTTTCATAATGAACGAATGGAACTCCATACAACCCCTTAGCTTTCTTATGAGTCTGCCATATAAGAGAATGTAAAATTAAGCACTAATTCTCATATAAAGTACAACCGAAACACTACTCCCTTCACTGCAAGGGATAGGACAAAATTCAGGAATAAATCTAAGAAAACCAGCCAAAACCAATTGACACCAATATTAGCTAAAAAGTCACCTACAAACATACACCAACCAGGAAACCAAAACAAATGCTCCTGAAATCACAGCCTGCAACAAAAGACAGAGCAACCACACTGACAGATACCAGCAGGCAGACTCACAGACAACACAACAGTAACAACATAAGGACAACAGCCACCAACAAGCAACAAGACTGACCACAAAAAACAAAGCATAAGCAACAAACAACAGTCTGAACCAGCAGCAGTAACCTGATGGCACCAACAGCTCAGAGTTTGCAAAAGCAACTTGAAAACATGGATACTAATCGTACTAATCATACTAATCATACTATACTTGCTGTCTAAATTTTCTTTTGAATTATAGCTAGTATACCATGTCAAGTGAGTATATAGTTTTCGAAAAACTCAGAACACAGATTTAGATGAATGGTCATCTGTTGGTAATAATACTGATTTGTTTCTCATTATGTCAAGATTTCAAGATACATTCACAAAGTTAGTATGAAACTAAGAAGGTTAGTGTAATAAATAGCAGTTCATACCTTCACCCATTCATCGTACACGACCTTGTCTACTTGCAACAATTTCTTTTCAGCATCCCATCCAAATCCTGAGGTGGATAGCATTTCTGCAAATGCACTATATTTCTCCGACCAATGCTTGATCCTCGACTCAATGTGGGGAACCGCTCTCAAGCCACAATTAGGAAGTACACCATTGATCATCTCTTCCAATTTATTCATGTAACCATTCTTAAACCCATTCTCACACTTCCACTTCGGATCGCAACTCAACTCATGCAAATATCTTATTAGAACCGCATCTTCTTCATACGTCCAATACCTTTTATTTTTACCTCTTCCTCGATTGCTAATCTCCATCCTAAACAAATTGTAGATTAGAAAATTAGGCCAAAGTTAGAAAATGATCCTATAAAATATAATCAATTTTTCAAGTAATAAAATATAATTAATTGTTAGTTACACTAAGGCAGACATAGGCAGCAACAATAGCATACAAAGACAGCAACAGTAGCATATAGAGGCAGCAGGAGACATGTACTTATATATATATTGTTTAGGAAGCTGGTAAACAAAGATTATGCATAAAATATGTTATGATAATAAAAAAAGACAGCTTACTAGGTTCCCAGAACCACACATTAGCTTTTTCCACATTCAATCTCCAGCACAATTAACGGGCATATAATTACTACCATACCAGTCAATTACGGCAAGCAAACTATATGACCTTTCAAAACTTCAAACAACTATTGCTAAATTTGCTATACTAACCCCACCAGCCACAACAATGAATCTTACAAGATTTCATAATCTGTCAAAAGAACAACCATTCAATTGTAGCAAAGAATTAAACACGAATTTGAACTGCAACCAATTAAACACGAGATAGAATGTAGATTAGGACTAGTTCACCTAAAATTGGTAATAGCAGCAGGGGGGAGGGGCAGCATCAGGGGAATAGCAGAAGGGGGAAGGGGGAAGTAGTAGGGGAATAGCAGAAGGGGGGAGGGGCAACAACAGGGGAATAGTAGAATTCCTCGGCACTTATGGGTTGTCGATTTGTCCATAAGCAAAACAATAGCAATCAAGTAACAAGAATTAGAGACCCAATATGCCTTAAAAACCGGCAAAGCAATAGCAATCAAACAACATTAACAATCTGCCTCAAAACATTGATTTTCGCTAAACAAAGCTGATTATTTACCATTGACATTTGCTTAACAAAGCTGATTTGCAGATCAAAACATCAGTAAGTATTACTATTAAGCATAAAATCGAAATTTGGGGGAAAAGAAGCCAAATAATAATAGCAAATTATAATAGCATAAAATCGAAATTTGCATGACAAAACATCAGTAAGTATTATTTCATAAAATCGAAATTGATATCATGTTAGCAATAATGTCATGAAGCAAAAAACAGGAGAAAATAAAACTCAAATAAAACTGAAAAATTAGGATAGAAAACCCTAGAAATTAATTAACACCATAAATCGAAAATAGCAATCAACACAAAGAAAAAATATAGATCGCAAATCAAATTAAATAGCAATCTTTCAATATACAGTAGAAAAATCAAAACGCAATCAATAAGACAAAATTTTTATAAATTCAACACAACTCAAAAACTAGGGTTCTTCAACAAAAAAGTGAGAGATCAAACCTTGAGTTTGTTGATTTCTGGAAATTTGAAGTACGAAATTTAGAATTCTTCAGCGAATTTGTGGCTTCGATCGATCAAAGTTGAGGATTGTGGGGAGATCTGTTGTATGAGAAGAGAGAGAATAGATAGAGGAAAGAAACGGGATTTGTTTCCCCAAGTTTTACAGTGGAAACAAAGTAATGGAATGGGTTAGAGGAAGGAAACGGTTTCTATTACTTAACTCTTTAACCAAACATCTTCTAACGGAAACGGTAACCCGATTCCGTTACTAACCCCATAAAAAGCCCATACCAAACATGCTCTTAGTTGTTTTTACCACACACTTTCACATCATGCATGATTCGCCCCTTTAGAAAAAGACTCTTTTCAAAGGAAGAGTAAAGCAAAAAAAAAGAAGGGCAGAAGAAGAGATAGGGGATGGGAAAATCAAATCGGATGAGATATCCGAGGCGTTAGCCTGAGTAAGAGCTACTGTTATACATCGTTACTAGGTAAGACCTGTGTTTGACTCTCCAAAAACTGCATTAAGATTTAAGACTCTAAGATTAATCAAGATTTAATATTATTACGGATTAATAAAACATTGTTGATTTTCTTACAATGTTGCATCCATTAAGATAAGGAACAAAAGAAAGATATCACGAGTGATTTCAAACCCTTGTAATTAACAAGGGCGAGGAGTCTAAAGAATACGTAGAATCAGCTATATATGAAAAGATTACTTAGATTACAGCGGATATCGTAGTATGTATGTTCCTTAAACACCAAAATTGAAGCCTGAGTTGATTCTTCTCCTGTACTGTGCAACTATATACTTCATATAAGTGTATAAAATGGTCTCGGATTCTTTGGGATAATCTCATCACGGAGCTTCAAGTTTCCAATTGTTTTTACAGATCTTTAAGCATGTACATGGGTACACTGTCAGTGTAACGTAGTGAAACACCAAGAATGAGAAGGACAAGAGAGTGGGCCAATGAGGAGCTGAATATAGGAAAGGATCAGGAGGCATCTGATGCTCTACAAGTGAACACATTTCCCAATCAAATTCAACCACAAAAGAAAAAATACAGTTATCATCTTAAAAGACGTAGTTAATTATGATGAGTTAATTCTTAACATAGTCAAAAAGAGTAAGCTTCCTAAACCGAACAATTGCTGAATGCCATATTGGCATGACAGAAATAAGTCCACCGCTATGCTCAGTTACAGACAGTAGAATGGTTGAGTTCCTTGCTACTACTAGATTGCCTTAACTTAAAATTTGAAAGTTTGTCTGCACCTAAATTAGACATTTTAAAATGGACTTCACAATCTATCCCAAGTTAGTAATTTGCATTATTAGCATAAATTCTGGTTCTCAGAAACATAAATAGGAGTCAGATACAAAACTTAAAACACATGTCATTCCAAATATTTTTAATCCACTTTTCATAGTTTTGGTCTCTTCAGGCATTGAGCAGAAAGCAACTCATGTTCACTAGGTTAAAGCAAAAGTTGTATAATTTTTCGTCAAAGTGTTAAAGCATAGCATGAAATTTTAGTTTCTCTTTAGTTTATAATGCCAATGAATGAGCTCTGATATCATCAACAAAATCGGAAAAGTGGTTAAAATTTTCAAGGAAGATCAGAGCATGACTGCAAGTACAAGGATCATACCTTCACTTTCTGCGAGTTGCAAATAATTTTTTACCATCCCGCTTTCTCTTTCTTCTTCTGGCTTCTCTAAGGATTCGTGTAGTGTCTTCCTCCAAGTCCACCATAAAATGTCTATCTGCATTTTGTGACAGAAAACAATTAGCTTAGTGAGTAACTGGTAATAAGCATGACTTAATTGGTTTGTGAAATTTACCTGATTCCTTTTCAACTATCAAGCAAGAAAAATCACCATCAGTCTCATCGTCTAAGTCAATAATAATTTTCTGTTCCCTATCCTGCAAGCAAGCATCCTCTCAATCAGAAAATGGAGCACACATTTGAAATTTTAAGGTACAAGCCTCAAGCTTCAAATTATCCCCTAGAAATCTAAAATCAATGTTGTTAGTCCAGACTAGCTACTCTAAGGTGGCTGGCATATTAGCACAATCACAAAATTCTTTGCCTGCACTTAAACAACAAATTCTTTGAAATGTGGCAATAAAATCCCGCTACATTACTACCATGGAAGATCTTTGTTTCGGATTATTGTAAGAATTCCCATATCGATTTGAGTGAGCAGTTTGCTCTGGTTTGACAGCGGTCCACCTTCCCATTTCTATCTTTGGAGCAAGATGTGACGGTTTAAATACTTTAAGGGGCTCAGCTTCCCTAAAATTCAGAGAACAGAAAAAGACAGAATTAGGACACTAGCTGAGTACTAATGTGAGAGAAATTACAGCAGATGGTGGGCTTATTATTGTAATCCTGCAAACAGAGGGGGTGGGGGGGGGGGGGGGTTAAAATTTTAACTTTGTACAATGACTACAGTAATACTTCGTAGGAATTAGCAACAAGATCATTTGCAGTTACAGGTGATCATGCACAATTAATTTGCCATTCCAGAGAGATATTATTAAAAAGCTATTCTGTCCTTAAACATAGTGCAATTTACATTTGATTATAAACAATAAACCCAGAGATCAGTGCTTGATGCTTCATAATGCTCTTAGGTCCCATATATAAGAAACAAAGGGAAAAGACACTCTAGAGCTAGAGAATCTTATTCAAAGTACCTTGTTATAATCGGCTTCTGTGATGAAGAATTAACACCAGACATCTGCAGCATAGGTTGCTTATTAAAGAAATCTCTAAATATGTTCTTCAGATGCTACAATGTATAGATAAAGAATATGATAAGAACCTTTGGTGGAAGAATGGAAAAGGGCGCATTCTTTTGATGTAAGGTCTTAAGGCTGAACATGATTTCCTGTTCAAGAAGTTAGAAAAAAAACAGTCACTTGAAAGTTGAAATAGACTGCAAAATTCAGATAACATTAGGATATATCAAAATGATAGATTTAAATAATTGTGCCAACTTACAAATACATGAAAGGGAAAATTTACATGCCTGCAGGTCTCTAGATAAGCATTTAGACAGTTCATCATTCTGTTTCTGATAATTTAAGTCAATATGCTCCCGCAGATTTGAAACTGCCAACATAATCTCTTGGTTCTTGTCCTTCTGCATAATAGTAAGCAGTTGATTGCTGATTGATTCCAGGCTAGTTTTGATCTCTTCTTGTGTGCGATTCTGATCATAGCATTTTGACATGTTAAAAATGAATTTATCTAAAAAGAAATATAAGTACTGGAGAAGAAGAGAGACTGTAATAGACATACCAGCAGATGCAGGGAATCATGATGAGCGATTGATTTTTGGCGTATGCCTTCCACTAAACAAGGTTGAATATATAAATCAATGAAAGAATTTATTAATAGAAAAACATTAATATCAGCATTACAATTGCTTTATGCCCTAGTCATCTTAGCTCAAATTTTTAAAATTCAGTTGATCTAGTGAAGTTAAGAATGTAATCAACAGGCAGCCAGTGGTCTATGACTCATGATGTCCATTAAATCAAATATCATCATGTATAGTTATTGAAAACTTTCTAGTTCCACATAACTCACCTTCAAGGGATAGCTCTTTTGTTCCCTTGTTCACTTGCATAATATCAGCCTGAACAGAATCTAAGATCATCCCTAATCTGTTCAGAGATGTATCCATCATAGAGATTTTGTGTTCAAGTTCATCACTTAGCTGACCTGTGAAAGCAAGTATGACAGAATCATCATAGATATTGATGCAGTCAAAGAGCCAAGTATGTAACACGCTCTGAGATACAAATATAAGGAGTGCAAGAATGCTACACTCAACTTCCTGTTAGAAAATATCAAAGATTTGTTAAGGATGACAATAGATGAAATTAAGCAACATCAAATAGAAAGAGCTAAGCATACATTTATGTTCTGGTACAGTAGTAGAGTTCCATCTACGTGTCAAACTAGAGGAATTTCTGGAGAGTGGCATCTGGCTTTCTTCCCGAGGGTATGCTGTGGGGGCGAGACAAGAAAGTCTTCTTACAGAATGATCTTTCTCTTGTGAGCTGAATCTCTGCAAAGTAGCAACATGAACCAGCTGTGATGTAATAATCATAAAACCAAAGGACAATACATAATATATTCCAGAGTATACGATAAACGGTAGACTTTGGTGTGCGGCCTAAATTAGCAGATAAGAAGCCTGAGATGATGAAAGAACCTAATTTCACTGTATTTTAAGTAAACTGAGGATCATATTTCAACAAGAAGAATTCAAGATGTCAAATCTACCATATTATATGATGCTACAAACCCAGCGACTTGCAGTTTTTTCCATCTTAAAGCATCATTATCTATTTTTGGGCATTCGCATTTTAGTCCAATAAAGGGAACACATTGTCCTACAAGAGTAAAATATATGTTTTGACCTATCACAAATACTCAACTCTTTCTCCACTAATCAAACCAAAATTTTACTACAAGTTTTATTAAAAAAATTTCTGCAATACAAGTTCGACTTTAGCGCCTAAAGTGACATACTTTTGGGGACATACAGATTTCATTATAGTTCAGAATCAAATGCTACAACCAATAATAATTTTTGAAGACATCATGGTGTGATGGTGTATGCTGTGGCCACATATAAGTCAGTCAAAAATGAATTAAGGAATACTATAATACTCTTAGAAAAAGGAGCCTAATATGTACTTGCTAGACGTGTGAATGCCATATGATCTGAAGGGATAGTTGGAAACTTGGCAATCACCTTAAGCTACATTCACCGGATAAGGTTTGACTTATAATGAAACCAATATGTGCACTGAAGTCATGAAGATTTGGCTCCAACGACAACAACCAGACTGTCCACATGAACGGTACACAAATCCCTAGTGATTTTCACATAGTAATTAACAGCACATACACTATAATGAGACATTGCTACAAGCGCAGATGTAGCTAGCCAGAAAATGAACCTAGAGTAACATCAAAAGATCAACATATATCAGATCAAAATATCTCCTCCTATCTTTCAATAACATCAATATATAATCGTCAATCAAGTGTCACGACGAAAAAAGTTATTGGATATCAGACGTGTGAGGAAACTAAAACTAATCAATGTATCCGCAATAACAACAATATTGCTAGAAATTAAAGATCTAAATCCTAAAACAAATTTTTTTTTTTAGAAAAAATGTTCTACAACTGTTCTACAACTAAGAATAGTTCTGTTTGCAACAATCACAGGAAAATAGAGTTACATCTACTCAAACAAACACAATTATTGATTGCTCACCTCTATCGTAGCATGAATCGCAAATTACTCCAGCAAAATAACGACGACGAAAATCACATCCATAATTTCCAGAAATTCAGCATTTTCATTCAATTTCTAACTAACATTTGATCCAAAATATGAACATTTGAACCAGAAAATCAAGAGGAGAGAGAATTGAGACCTGATTGTCCGTAAGAACCTCGTCGACAGAGTTCTGAGAGATTTGTGAGAAAATTCCGTTCTGTTGCGACGAAAAACCTTGCGAGAACGATTGTTGCGACGGCTGCGACCTCGGTTGCTGCATCATACTCGATCTCCTTCAAATTATGCCGGAAAATCTCCATTAAAGCAGAAAAAACAGTTCAAAGATTGAAAATACAAAAATTGTAAAAAAAAAAAAAAAATCAAGTATAAAAAGAGAGAAATTTAGGTTAAAAACCTGGAATGTGGAGGAAGAACAGAGATGGAATTGAGATCACAAGCTTTGTTGATCTTCAGCTCCATCTAATTCGAAGTTGAATCGAAGATATTTGGAAGAATTTCTGGAATTTGATGAGAAAGAGAGATAGAGTGAAGCAGTAATTAGCAGCAATAGAAGGAGAGATAATCGGGGAAAGTTGAAGGGTTTATATAGGGATTGTTTTGAGGGCGGGAATTACTGAATTAGTAACGGTTTTGTATTATAGGAGAGAATACATTTGGGCCTGTAATTTGGACTATGTTTTTGGGCTTCTTGTGTGTCAAAAATGTACTCATTGGTCCGAAAATAAGAGTAAGGTTGATTGTCAAAATTCAAGAAATCCAATAATCAATACTCATATGTAGGACTAAAGGTGGCCCGGCCGGGCCGGCCCAAGTCCCAGCATGGCCCAGAACGGAAAAAATGCGGCATAGCACGGGCACGATGCAGGCCTGGCACGGCACGTTACTGTGTGTGCGGGCCATGGGCCAGGCCTAGGCCTCTTTTATTAGGGAGAAGCACAATAAGGCATGGCATGACCAGGTCCGACACGACAAAGCATGCTAAAAACAATGCAACTTTGCTTAGGCACGCAAATCCGTCACGATGGCACATGGGCCTGGACCGTGCACGGGCTAACCTTTTGAAAACTTCGGCTCGACACGAACTTGTGGGCCGAGCCATAGGCAGGCTTAACTAACCCCAAAGCACGTGGACACCGACACAAGGCACGACCCAGAGCCATCTTTACATAGTACACTAAAGTTTTTTTTAATAACTACATCCGTTTCGATTTATGTGCAACATTTTCCAAAAAATGAAGCAACACATGATACACAACAAAGCAAAACTTTCTTCTTTTAGTAAAATTATTTGTCTCAAATCCCCAACATACCCTTACTAAAATTTAATTAATTTAATTTTGAAACAAAAATTCAATGAATTTATTAAAACAAATGTTATTAAATTATTAGCCTAACTTAATTTAAGCTAATGTATTTCATTTAATTCACCCTAGACATCACAGTTGAGGCGTTGAGCAAATTGGTGGTAAAATCTAGAATTTTCAACAATTGTTGATGGTAAAATAAAAAATAATACTCCGTAATAATTGTTGGTGGTAATTACTAAAATGTAAACTATTGGTAATTATCAAATTTCCCTACGAAAAATTATAAATTAGATTTAGTTAGATTTGTCTATAGTGAACTTTTTATACTTGTATATTTAATTTTCATAAATTTTATGAATTTGCAATTCAAAATATTTAGCAATAAATAAACAAAAAAAAGTATTTCCTCCGTTTTTTTTAGTTACATCACTTTTGTGAAACGGAAATTTCAAAGCAATTGCATCACATTTTTTTTTAATAAACTCTCTCTATCTCCCTTTTATCACATCGATCCATTATTTTTTTTTTATTTTTTTTTTGACAAGTTGGTCCATTGTTTATTCTCTCTATCTTTCTCATCTCGATAAATTGTCTAGGAATCCGCAAGGCATTAATTTACAAAGGGATGCAACTTAATAAATTGAAGAAGGCCCTATTCTTTTGAATTGTTCTGCTCTGCACTGCCTATTCTGCTTTGCCCTGCCCTGTTCTGCTATGCTCTGTTTATAAATAATAATTAATATTTAATAAAGATAATAATTATTATTATTAATATTTAATAATAATAACTAATATTTATAGATAATAATAATTAATATTTAATAATAATAATAAAAATATAATATTAATTGATAATAATAACTAATATCTAAAGATAATAATTTTAACACATTTTTTAATGTTATAAAAAGAGTAAAAAAATAAAATAATAATAATAATGCGATAATAACAATAACAATAATAATAATAATAATAATAATAATAAAAATAGTAGTAGTAGTCGTAGTAGTAGTAGTAGTAGTAGTAGTAGTAGTAGTAGTAGTAGTAGTAGTAGTAGTAGTAGTAGTAATAATAATAATAATAATAATAATAATAATAATAATAATAATAATAATAATCTATAGTAATATATAAAGTGAAAGGGGGTTTTAGGTGATAAATTTTTCTTTCCCAAAATACCCCTCTCATTTTTTATTTTCTTTATAAAAAAAAAACCTACCTTCATTTTTTTTTTAAATAACTACCATCAATATATAAAAAAAAAAAAAAAAAAAAAAAACCTACCATCCTTTATTAAAAAAAATAAAAGCTACCTATTTTTTTTAAAAAGAAAAACAGAAAAAAAAAAAATCTACAGTACATTTTTTTTTTTTGGGAAGTCATATCCTTCTATTGCCTCCATAATTTCATCAATTTTTAAACACACTAATACTTTTTTAATTAAATTTTTTTAAAAAATATTTTTTAATTAGAATAAGGTAGATAATATTTCATGAAAAAGGGAAAATCGAGCCATATAAATTTCTTATAATACACACGCAATGTGTGTGTGTCTCATAGCTTGTAATAATAATGCAACAACAACAATAATAATAATAATAACTCTTTCGTTTAGGGCGATTAGGGCTCGGAGGACCCTCGTAGCCATCTCATAGGTGTCTTTCCTCCATATATTGCTCGTCCTGTGCATGGTATTAAGTTGTTTGGTGGTCCTGTCAGTGCAGATTCCTCTTTCTGTGGTGAGCTTGTTTCGCAGAGAGTGTCGAAGACCATTGTGCTAATGGATGCTGTTGCTAAGCTCGATAATCCCTAATGTGAGTTGTTACTTCTTCATACGTGTACTGAGGTTTCCGAACTCTACTTTGTTATGCACACTTGTCCCACTCGTCTTTTTGAAGCGGCCCAGACTTCTTTTGATGTGGCTCTTCGGGCTTCTTTGGAGCGCATTGTAACTGCTTTGGGGCCTGGTTTTGGTGACTGTCAATGACGACATGCCACCTTACCTTTTGCTTATGGTGGAGTGGGTGTCTATTCAACGAGTGATGTTCGGCACTATGCTTTCCTTGTGTCACGTTTGCAATCTTCAGGCTACGTTTCTTTGCAATTCTAGTATTGTTGGTCCAAGACTGGCCTTCAATGGTGCTCTTAGTCTTTTTAATAGGACTATGGAGACTGACCTTATGAGTAACCCTAGTGAGATCGCTACCCCCAAACTCATGAAAAAATTGGCAAATATATATTTCACGAAGGTCACTACATCTGCAGAATCCACTTTCTCCCTATCTCCGTGTCAAGTTGCCTTATGGAAGTCCCAACAGGGGGATCACACTTCGGCCTGGTTGCGAGGGGTCTCGATATTAGGTTTGGGTCAGACAATGAATGGTAAGAGTTACCGTTGTGTTCTCTGCTACCGGTTGGGTGTTCCTTTGTTCTCCGTTTTGACACCGTGTTCTGCTTGCTCAAGGGTTTTTGATGGGGATATTGATGGGGATCATACAGTGTCTTGTGCTGGGATAGTGGGTATTAAACATCGGCACAATATTGTTCGTGACACCCTTGTTGATATTTGTTTCGGTCTAGGATTTCTACAACAAAGGAGGTTAATGTTGGGTTGACTGGAGGGAACGACGGGGCTCTTCGACCAGCAGATGTGTTGCTTTTATTCTTGGGATAGAGACCTTGATGTATGTGTTGACTTGACGGGGTGTTCTCCCTTGACTCAATCTGGGTTGTCTGACTTCGTTCCTGGTCGTATTGTGTCGCTACAACTCAGTGGAACCGGGACAAGTATGGGGCGCGTTGCAAGGCTATTGGCTATGATTTTCTTCCTTTCTCCTTTTCTTCATTAGGGGAATTAGAGAAGGATGAAGCGGGTCCATGCGTTCGCTAGGATTCAGGATATTGGTGCTCATGCAGCTGCTCACATTTTCAACAGGATCAGATTCGCTATAGCTAGAGGGGTGGGGGCCCAGATTGTATCTCGCCTCCTCGCTAATTTCTTGTAAATCGATTGACTTTGTAAGTTTTTGTTATTTTTCTATAATAATAATAATAATTAATGATAATAATAATAATAATAATGTGATAATATTAATAAGTAATTAATGATAATAATGTGATAATAATAATAATAATAATAATAATAAGTAAATTACCACCCAAAAATAGTATCAATTTCTAAATAACCACCCAATTAAAATTTTATTTTAAATTACCACCCATTAAATTAAAAAAACGCTCAGATTACCACCCATTTTGTTTTTCCGGTGGAATTTCCGTCAGTGGGCCCCACTTTTTTTTTTTTTTTTTTTTTTTTTTTTCCTTTTTTTTCTGGCTTTCTCACTCTCTCTCCCCGATTTCACTCTTCTTCTTCCTACCTTCTTCCTTTCTTCTTCCCAACCACCACCCCTACCATTGCAAATTATCCTTTTTAATTATCAAAATAAGCGCATTTCCAACTTAGAGTAACATAAGATACATAATTATCATACAATTCCCCACCCAATTCATCTGCAACAAAGTTACTAAAAATGCTAATCAACCCACGAATCATTATCCAACAATTAGTCTAGCATTCCAACGAAATATAAGAAATGATGCCAATTCCTTTAATAACTCAACCAAAGCCAAATAAAAAATTAACAGCAATTAACCCAATTCAATCCCCCAACAAAAAAATCAAAAGAACCCCAGAAAAATTGAACAAATACCCAGTTCAATTCACCAACAATACAACCAAATTACAATAAAAATCACAAACATCGCAGAAAACCAATAAAAGGGATTGAACAAAAATTACCAATAAAAGGGGTAATGATGAGAATGATATAACAAGCAAGACCACCACTACTAGAAGTAAAGAAATGAGCAATTGGTTTATACGAAACAACAATAGCACCAACAACAATGGTAGCAAGCAATTGTACTGCGATAATTGAGTAAACTTTTCGAATAAAACTCCATCGAAGTCTTGGGTCTTCAAGCATCACAGGATAAAGTTGTGTTGATCCTCCTTCAAGATCATTTTTCCCAGAATGCCACATGATTTCTAAGTTTCTTGCTTGTTTTTAATGAGAGAGAAAATCAGGGGTTTTAATCGGGTTTTCCTGGGTAATTGGGTTTGTGTTTTCCTGTAAAAAGAGAGAGAATTTGGTGGGTTTTAAGGAGAGAGAAAGCGAGACGAAAGTTCTTGAGAAGTCTTCTACTCTTCTACCGTTCTTGTGAAGGCGGTGTTAGGGGAGGATCATGAGGTGGAAGAATCTGAAAAATGGGGGAGATTGGGGTGAGGGAGCAATGGTAGGGGTGGTGGTTGGGAAGAAGAAAGGAAGAAGGTAGGAAGAAGAAGAGTGAAACCGGAGAGAGAGAGTGAGAAAGTCAGAAAAAAAAAGGAAAAAAATAAAAAAAGTGGGGCCCACTGACGGAAATTCCACCGGAAAAACAAAATGGGTGGTAATTGAGCGTTTTTTTAATTTAATGGGTGGTAATTTAAAATAAAATTTTAATTGGGTGGTTATTTAGAAATTGATACTATTTTTAGGTGGTAATTTACAAATTACCCTAATAATAATAATAATTCTGAAATCTGCCTGGAGTGAAGTATTTGTATACAACTAGCAAGTCAAATAGAGGTCAAAAGGTTAAATAATGAAATCTCCATGTCTAGAGTCTAGACGGCAGAACCCCAGAATGTTCAGATGCAAGGAACCATCGTGGACTTGTTGTCCAAATCTTCCATGGCTGTTCATGGGAGGATCTGGGACCCGCCATGAAAGGCATGAATTATCCCAAATCTAACTGATGATTGAAATTAAAAAAGTAAAATACAGTTAATTGCCAGAAGAATGAGGGTAGATAAACGTTGGATTCAGACGACACGAAGATTTGCATACATTCTACAGATTTGGTAATATTAATTATATTTTAATTTTTATTCAGTTATTATTTGTTATATTTTAGCATAATTGTTTTACTAATTCAATGACAAGTAACCCCTTTACACCAATTTAGTTTCTTTCCTATAGTTTTCTGTCATTTTCATTCATATAAAACTGTATTTTTGAATTTTCTTGAATATGATTTAATTAAATCATTGAAGAAGTTGCTTTAGTTTTTTTTTTTTGGTTGTTTAGAGAGCCACAAAGGGCGAGTGATGAGAATCGATTCCAAGATCACTTGGAAGCGGGAAGGGAAGCTTTAAATCATTGGAGAAGTTGCTTTAGTTTGTTGATGCTCAACCAATTGAGAAATTTGCTGATTTTTTGTACTACGTAATTTTTTGGGGTTTTAATTTTGAAGCATATTTCTAATCTTTTGGATTTTTGGGTTGTTTTTATCTATTGGGTTATTAAGGAATTTTAATTTGTACTTAAACCCATTTGGAGAGTCTGAAATCTGCATATTTTATTGGAAAATTTGTCTATTTTGTATATTTGGGGGGTATTTGACATTTCAACTACAATGGCATTAGTTAGGGTAGAAGAGGTTGGTGATGAGGTTAATGAGAAGATATATGTTGCAGTGAGCAAAAATCAGAAAGCTTGTATGTCGAGTCTAGAATGGGCGGTTCGCAACTTGAAAGGAAAGAGACTATGCTTGGTTCATGTTCATCAGCCTGCAAAGTTTATGTCCATATGTGAGTGCCTAAGTTTATTTGTTGTTGTATTATACATTGCTTGATTCCCAGATCTCCCCATTTCGACTTTCATAGTCTAATGTTATGTTATTTGAACTTATGAGTACGCCACATTGTGTTTTTGATGCCTGAATGTGGGATGTGCTTTGAGTTTGAAGGAGAGTTTGCAAAACATAGGTCTATTTTGGTATCTAAATGTAGAATGTTTATACTTTAGGTTCGAAGGAGAGTCTGAGAAGCGTAGGTTTCTGTCTGCTCGTTAGAGTGATTGTGTTAAGGCTTCCATTTTGCAAATGTTTGTTTACATTGTGGAAATTATTGGGATTGTTTGTTTTTTATTCTCCCAATTTTTTGTTTCTTTCATCTGATCTGGTAGTATTCAAGTTGGTTTAGTTTGGTACTTCTCTCCTGCAATGAAGTATCAACATTTATCTAAATGGCAGACATTCTAGCTTTCTTGAGCTGAGTAATTTGTATATCCAAAATTCATTATCGAATGGCCATAAAACATAACGATAATGTCATTCCTATAGGTTTAGTTTGCCTCTGAAGTGTAGCATGCTACCATGTAGTATGTGACTGCAGTTGATCAATAAGATATTAAGATGATAAGGGATCTTGTTTAATTTCTGTCTGCATGCCTGTAACGAAACTCATAGGTAGCCCGAACCTCTCATATGAGATGTCTTTGATTCTGTCTTCCCGTTGAATTTTCTCTGAATTCTAATTCAACTCCTGTTTTGTCCTGTCTTTTTCCTTTTGTTATTAGTTTGCTGTATCTTTGGTTCCTTTGGACTAGTATTGTACCTACAAATCAATTTTCTGAATGACTCTTCATGGTTGTTTATCTAATTGTTTTGGTGCCTACAGTGGGTGGGAGGTTCCCTATAAGCTCACTGTCAGAACAGGAAGTTATGGCTCATCAAGAACAGGAAAGACAAGATATGTGCAAGATTTTAGACGAATATCTTCGCATTTGTACAAAAGCTAAGGTAATATCTTTTCCAGCTACTTAAGTTGACATTGAAACATTATGAAACTTACCTTTTGTAAATAACATCATAGATTTTCTATTTGAATTCTGCTTTCTTGTATATTTGCTCATGTCAATTTCTCGTGTTGGTAGGTTCAAGTAGAAAAACTGTATATCGAAATGGAAACTGTAGAAAGTGGACTTGTGGAGCTCATATCCCGGCACAAGATTGAGAGACTTGTCATGGGAGCAGCAGCTAACAAAAGTTATTCAAGGTGTGCAGGGAGTAATCGACTGTGGTTAATTCTAGCTTTGTTTCTATCTTCTGCCTATGACTTAATCATTACTCCATACTATTACATGTGCTTGGAGGATAGTCATGTATTTTTTGGGGCAGCTTGGTACTCCTTAACTTAGTTTATGTTCTTGAAATAGATTATGCGGAATTTTAACGTTTGTGAAAGCTTCTCACTGATTGTGATTCGTGATTCCAGAAAAATGGTGAAACCAAAATCCAAGAAGGCTAACTATGTCCGCCAACATGCACCTGCTTTCTGCCACATCTGGTTTATCTGCATGGGGCATCTAATCTATACAAGGTATAATCTGTCAACCCCATTATTAAGATTGGCCAAGTTACTTTTTGCTTCTATATACATGCCATGTAATTCATGCATCCTTGGACTATGTTGCTTTACATAAAGACAGGATATTAGTAATGTACTTAAGGGCCATATACTGGTCGGACTTGAGGGCCATATATAGCCATTATCGTGGGAATTTGTTTTTAGTTTAAATTGAGGGTTCCAAGTTTTTATTTTTTTATTTTTTGGATCTTCATAACTTGCAGTGACCAACAAATTCTCTTAAAAATAATACAAAGTAGTATATTTCAATGATTAGCAAAAATCTAAGGTTATAAATCATGCTAATGGATGGATGATTTTGGCACTTAACACAGGCAAAACTCGTGCTATGAGCCTATGATACATTATGCTTCTGCAAGAATTTACAAGGAAAATGCAATACTGAAAGACTATAAAGGTTGTTTTGTAGTATCAAATAGGATCTGTGGTCATGTGCCATATATTTAACTACAGTCTTAAGGACTCTTAACTCTACAAGCAATCTGGGTCTTTGGGTCATTATTTGGATTGTGAGATGAACTGGATCATATGATCATAAATCATGATTTTTTTTTTTTTTTTTGAAACAATAAATTATGAATTTTTCTACTTACAATTAAGTTCAAAAATTATTGTTTGGAGGACCTTACATAACAAGTCATGATTTTCATGCAGGGAGGGTATTAAAAAGTCATGTTTAAATGATGAAGATCTAAAAAGGCACCAGGCAGATTCTAAGTCAAGATGGAGTCAGTTTACTGGTAAACTTTCTAATTCCTTCAGCATAGTGGAATCTGAAGGGAGTTTTGATCGATCATCAACATTTAGTCTTTCTCAGCTATCTGTCTTTTCCCGACCTTCTGAAGCTGCCACCAATTCTACTTCCTATCATTCGGCAACAGAAGATATAGAGCTGTCATTTCGGTCTTTTGTTCTTTCTCCTCTACCTGAGGGAAATCAGCTTGATTCATATTCTCCAAAGGTGCTGGTAAGTACAGTGTTTGTGGAAGTTAGAGCAACGACATTAAGTATGGTTATCAGTCTCTCTGAAAGTAGCTTAATTTGGCTATCAAACTATTGCAGGAAGAGGACATGGAAGACGCTCTTTATGATCAACTTGATCAAGCCATAGCAGAAGCTGAAACCGCTAAGGAGGAGGCTTATATTGAATCAATCAGGCGTTGTAGAGCAGAGAAAGATGCAATTGAAGCAAGTGGCAAGGTAACAGTTCTGAAACACGCAATCTTTACGTGCTTTTTGTCTGTTTGGACCATTAATATTTTCCACTTTTTGATCAACAAGAGATTTTTATTGTATCTTGTAAGTTGTAACACTGTAACAAGTGCTTCTCTTGTAGGAAATCAATATTATTTGGTGTAAAAAAAAAAAAGGAAATCAATATTATTTAAACATATACCGTATATTAATTCGATTTAATAAACCTTGACCTTTACAGTCGAAAAGGAGATTAAAGTTTTGGCATTTGATTCATTGAATTTTCATGATACTAGCTGCAAATGTACAAATTTTACAGGCAAATGCAGCAGAAAATATGTACTATGAAGAGTTGAGAAGAAGGAAAGAACTTGAAGAAGAGTTGGCTAAGACTACAGAAAAACTTGAGAGTACAAATAAGGTGCACGACATGGCCTTAGATAAACTACGGAATATATTGGATCAGAATTTGTTACTAAAGAATCGAACTGAGAAATCTGATGTCATAGGAGAAGAGTTGGAAGAAAATTTAATTTCTGCATTGGAGTTGTTACAGAGCATCAAGAAGCTGTAGGATCTCTTTTACATATTTTCATGGTTGATAACTTAGCATGGTTGAGCTCCTAGGTTTTCCCTCTGTTAGGCAAAATATTGTACTGTATATATCAATCTCACAATATTCTTAGGGTGGAATTTTTGTTTTTTATTTTTTATTTTATAATAGGGACTTAGTAGTTAATACTCTACAGGAGTTGGTCGTTTTTATGCCTCATTTGAAGTAATAAATACGAAGTATAATACTCATACGTGAAGTAATAATGATGTTAGAATACACCGTATTGTTTTTCATTTTTTTTTTTACTCCGTATTAACAAAACTAAGTAACACCTGTCACTAACAATAACAATAATTAGGGTGCAGCGTGACAGGTTGCTAACATGCATGATTCAGATTGTATGTTGGCCCTTGAGAATGCATCACCTTGATTTGAACTTCTGTGTTTAAATTAAACAACTACGTTGCAATATAATGAAGCCATTTTGCAAGTCATTTTCTTGGACCAAGTACAATATAATGAAGAATGTTTATATGAAGGCATCTAAACATTCCAATAGATTGCCTCGCAGCTTGATAACGTAATGTAAAAGATTGAAACATGAGTGTTGAATTCTGTCAGGAGTATTTTATTACGTAGCTCGTTTGTATCAAACTATCAATTGCATGATACTTCGTACAATTTAGGCTATTTCATGCCAATGTACTTGTATCTTGTGAGCACATAAAAGAATAGCATAGTCGCTTGTATGGTGAAAATTCTTACACGTTCGTTTTATTTTTTAGCTATAAATCTCTTGAAAGAATCTTTTCGACTTTATGCTACATGTAAGATTATAATAGGCTAACATACAAGTTTAAATCTCTCTTCCTCGATAGTAATAGTCTCGTGGGTCACACGGAAAAAACACGACTTGATACAACAAAAGGAAAAGTGTGAACATACTGAACAAGAGTACAAAGGTTAGGATTGTAGGAAGCCCTACCAGCCTAACTATCCAATAATCTGTATCATCCTTGTTATGGAAGCTTCGTTGCAAGTCTTGCAACTATGAATGTACAAAGTGAAATAACGAGGCATTTTGCTATGAAACTCTCCTGTCAATGTGGCCCCCTTTACAAAGTCGTCTCATTGACTTATCAATAAAATAATGTAACAAATTATATTTTTCAAAGACTTATCAACTAGTAGTAAAACAGTCAACATTAAAAATTTAAAACATCATCATTATCAATTTATAATTCATTTGTCATCACACACTCCAAATTTGCTGTTTTTAGATTTGAGTACTATGAATGTTCACTAATTTCTCACTTCACTGAAATATTATTTAATTTTTACTATTTTTTTCTACCCGATTTTTCTGGGTTGATGACAAGCTAAAGCAATCCTTTTGAATTTTTTTTTTTTTTTTTTTTGGCCCAAAAAAGTGGTTAATTATTCCTTTTCTTTTTCTCTCACAAAAACCCCTTTTTTCTCTAAATCCCACCTTTCTTTCTTTCTATTTTATCTTTTTTAATTCTTAAGTTGGTTGAATCTACGTTGAAATTCTAAAAATTTCGGCTTTATTTATTTTTTTAATCTAATTTTGTTTCCCTTTTCTCCATTATAATTACTTAGCGTAGTTCTAAAAAGAAAGAAGCTAATTTTAACTCAAATTTTGGGGGTTTTATATGGTTAGTAATTAGAAATAGGATATTTGTAGACGAGCACGGAGATTAAGTCTTTGTTCATGTAGCCGACCCCATCGTTCCAGGACTACGGCTTGGCGGTGATGGGGCCGGTGTTTATGTAATCTGAGTACATCAATTAAATTGTGGGGGTGATTTTTTTTTTTTTTTTTTTTTTTTTTTTGGGTAAATTATTGAAAAACCCAGAAATGGGATCAAGCAAAGATCTTTTAGGGGAAACAAGAAAAGGGATGGTAATTGATGACAAGGTATTTGTGGCAGTAAGCAAGGAGTTGAAGGAAAGCAAAATTACACTGCAATGGGCTTTGCAGAATTCGAATGGGGAGAAGAACATTTGTATAATTTATGTTCATGTTCCTGCCAATGTGATTCCCATGCCAAGTAATTATATTAATTTTAATTGATTCTGTTATTTTAATTTAGTGTTAGTATGTCATTAATATTTTGGTACTTTAATGTTAGTTTCATTTATTGGGAGTGATTGCTGGATATTGTTATGTTTATACCTAGATCTTGTGTTTGGTGTAGTGTTACCTAATTCGCGGTATGTGAATGGGGGTTTGGGAACACAATTCGCTACCTAGTTTTGTTAAATTTGTCCTACAGTGTACCTTTCACACGTTATGTAATCGTACCAATTTTCGTGTTTCAGAGTGCATTTTGCAGGGGGGTTTAGTGATTTAGGTAGCACTCATTGATTTCACAATGTTAGATTGTTCCGGGAGTAGGTTTAATGGAAGACATATATAGAATTGCAAGTTTTACTTATAATGCTGTTTTATTTGAATTGGCTTTCTAGTTTATATAGGTAATGTGTTTTATTCAATCACTTTCTAGGAAATCATTCTTAGGTATAAAGAATACATGAAACCGCATATTGAAGGTGTGATAAGAAATTATTTTGGACTGGTAAGGCGGCACTTAACGGAGTTATGCATACCTTTGTAATTGCTTAGTGATATCTCTTCCTAAGGGATGATTTATATCATGAGTTTCAGATAAATTGCTTTGAAAGTTTGCCTCTTGATTTATGAGGGCGTAGGTTGCCTAGGATACATACCGGGATGATAGTTTTGCTTTCTTACTTATGATGGCTCATTGTGGTGTTTCTGTTGTCTGATTCTGCATAAGCAACAGTCTCTTGTACTATCTTTTATTTGGTGTTCTACAATTTGTAAAATTGCAGTGGGTGGGAAATTTCCAGCTAGTCAAGTGGGAGAAAAGGAACTCAAGGCGTTTCGAGAGCAGGAAAATAAAGAGATGAATAAAATTCTGGATGATTATCTACAAATTTGTGCCAAAGTTGGGGTATGATCTCTTTCTAAACTGATAGGAAATAGCAAGCTGTGATTGAATTTTACTGTTGATTAGCACTGTTTTCCATCTGAATCTTTTTTGATGTTAGTATTCATATTGAAACTTTGATAGGCACATGCCGAGAAACTACATATTGAAAGGGACTCCATAGAGGAGGGAATTGTGGAAATCATATCTCAACAAAAGATAGGGAGACTCGTCATGGGTGCAGCAGCAGATAGAAGATATTCAAGGTGTCCATAATGGATTTTGTTGTGCAAATCCCTAATGATGTTTCTAGGAGCTCGTAGACCCCAATTGTGAATGTTTGATATTTAGATTTGACTAATTTCTAGGTCATATACTTTGAGACAAGTCATACATAAATGAAAACCTCAAAGAATGACATTTTCCTGTGTTATTGTCTTGAAGGAAAATGGTGGAGCCTAAATCGAAAAAGGCCAACTATGTGCGTCAACATGCGCCTGATTTCTGTCACATCAGATTTATATGCAAAGGCCGTTTAATATGTACGAGGTATGCTTTCCATTTTTTCTTAATCTCTTTCTGAGAAACCAACTGTACTTAGAAGCAAGCTCCTGAAGTATCTGGTTCAACATTTCATTATTACTTTTTTAAATGTGATTATGAAGCTCCCTCAGTGAGTTTTTAAAAAATACGTATGGTATCACATGCTACTGATCTTTCTTGATCCGGATATGATTTTATCAAATTTTGATACCTTTGCTTGATCTGAAAGCTCCTCGATTCAGTTATCTGTTTGAGCTGATAGATATTATAATAAAGTCTTCTTATTACTCCAGTTGGAAGATATGTTAATTTGCATTTTGCAATTTGGTTATTAATTGTTGGTTTTTTTGTTTTGTTTTGTTTTTTTATCAAATGTAAAGAGATTTATAATATGCAAAGTTTGATATGCTGGTCAACTAGCCGCTATTGAGCTACTTGTAGTTGGCCTAGTGGTTGTATAAGTGACGGTATCTTTGATTTTTGATGTTGTTCAAGTTTATTGATAATATTTTAGCACTGCCTGTGTGTAGGGAAGGTGTGAAGCAACCAAGTTTGGATGTTGAAGGGAGATCATCAAAATCCTTAGAGAATGTTCAAATTGATGCAGGCATTCTAAGTCAAAAATTACATTCTAGTCTAAGAATTTCAAATGATGATGGATCTGAAGGCAGTTCTGATAGATATATTCAAACACTAAGACCCTGTTTTTCTGAGTCCTCAATCCGATTGCCAGGACCCAAATCAGCTTTTAGTTCGCCTTGTTCATCATTCTCGAGAGAAGGAGCCCCAGAATCTAGTCTGGAGCTGTTAGTTCTGCCTCAGACAAAGATTGAGCGTCAGAGATCATCACCTCCAAGTGTATTGGTCAGTAAATTTGTCACTGCCATCTACATGCTTTTACATTTATGATTATATAGATCCACTATAACCTGAGGTTCTGAGCAACAATATAGCAGGCTTTGTTTAGCTGCTGTTGCCACGGTTTAAAAACTTTTCAAGTTCCTGAACTTTTATATGGTTCAGCAGGAAAGCAGTATGAATGATGATCTGTATGATCAGCTTGTGCAAGCCATGGAAGAGGCTGACAATTCAAAGAGAGAAGCTTTCGAAGAATCAATGAGGCGTCGGAAAGCTGAGAAAGAGGCTATAAATGCAATTCGCAAGGTAAACTATTGTCTAAGAAGAACTTTCTGCTAGTCTTGATTTTTTTTTTTTCACCCCCAGTCATTATAGAAGAACTTTTTATTGTATCTTCCCTTTGTTCTTAAACCTGATGTCATCATGTCTATGACTAAGGGCTTGCTAAGCTAATTTTGGATTATATTATGTAGATATTACAAATTTGGCTTTGTCGCTTCTTTAATTGTATGATTATCAGCAAACAAGTCTTCTTCCTCCCCTTTGAGTGGTTAGGATATGACCCTTTGCTTTCTATATTCATGTCTTCAAATTGTGTGGCTATTCAGGCAAAATCTGCTGAAAGTTTGTATTTCGAGGAATTCAGACAAAGGAAAGAGCAAGAGGAAGAGCTGCATAAGCGGAAAAAGGAACTTGAATTCACAAAAAGCCAGTTAGAAAAGGTTTTGCAGGAACTCCAAGTGGCATCGGATCAGAGGTTATCGCTTGAAAACCAGTATGAGAAATCCAAGCTCATAGAAAAGGAGATGGATGAGAAAGTGTTTTCTGCAGTGGGCTTGTTACAGAAGTATAAGGCTGAACGTGATGAATTGCAAGTAGAAAGGGATCATGCTCTCCGAGAAGCTGAAATATTGAGGAAACAATTAGATCAGGAACCATCAAGCTCACATGTTCCTTTTTTCTTCTCTGAATTCTCTTTCTCAGATCTGGAGAAAGCTACTAACAACTTTGACCCATCCTTGAAAATTGGGGAAGGAGGATACGGGAGCATATATAAAGGCTTTCTACGTCAAAGTCAAGTGGCAATTAAGATACTCAATCCTAACAGCATGCAGGGTCCTCAAGAATTTGAACAAGAGGTAGTCAATCTTTTCCAGCCTTTTGTTTATCATAAGAAAATAGAACTCTAGTCTCTTACTGTGTATACATTCATTAGGAAGATATTGGATTTAAGTTTCAGCTGACTTTGATGATTTTAGCCCAATTTGAAGTTTGTTTTTTATTGCATGTAATGATATATTGTCTTTTATGTTATTATGTTTGGTAGATTTTATTTTGCTTAAATGAGCGCGATCTAGAACTTTTCACTGAAGTTAAAATATGATATCAAATGCAAACCTTTTCGAGTACAGTTGTATAAGTATGATGATTGGGCAACTTTGTGGCTGTGGGTAACCTTGTCTTGAGAAAATAGCCCAATAACAATTTTATGAGTATTAATCTCTATAGATTCTGATGAATTTTCTGTAGAATTGTAAGAGTTTTGCCCTCTTTGCCTAATTTTGGTTGGTTGTTTTGCTATGAGTTTACTTGCCTTTATATTTCCTGGCTCAAGATTTTTAAACTAATAGAATCACTTGAAACATTGAGAACTCAAGAGTCAAGATTACCTTTTAAAATCCATCTTATTTTGAACTTTATGGCTGTTCTGAAGGATTCTATCTGTCTTATCTCTCTTCATTAGATATTCATTTCAGTTTTCACATGGATTAAAGTATTTCTATGTTTCTTACCTCAGCTAGTCTTTTCTGTAGGTGGATGTTTTAAGTAAGCTTCGGCATCCAAACCTAGTAACTCTCATTGGTGCCTGCCATGAATCTTGGGCTCTTGTGTACGAGTATCTTTCCGGGGGAAGCCTTGAGGATAGACTCATCTGCAAAAACAACACTCCTCCACTGCCCTGGCAAACAAGAATTCAAATAGCCACAGATTTATGCGTTGTTCTCATCTTCCTTCATTCAAGCCGACCTACTAGCATTATACATGGAGATATAAAGCCTTCAAATATACTACTGGATGAAAATTTTGTGTGCAAGCTCAGTGATTTTGGTATATGTTGTGTAATCTCACATAGAGAAACATCGATGGAACAAACTACAAGGTTTTGTACCTCTCAACCAAAAGGCACTTTCTCATACATGGACCCAGAATTCCTCACAACCGGAGAACTTACCCCAAAGTGCGACATATATTCTTTTGGGATTATATTGTTGCGCTTATTGACTGGTAGACCAGCCATGGGGATAACAAAGGAAGTTGAATATGCTTTGAATAATGGTAATCTTAATTGCTTATTAGACCCTTCAGCTGGAGATTGGCCTTTTGTCCAGGCTGAGCAGTTAGCTCGCATGGCTTTGAGGTGCTGTGAAATGAATGGAAGGAATCGCCCTGATCTTGAATCGGATGTATGGAGGGTTCTAGAACCCATGAAAGCTTCATCTCGAAGCTTATCTATGCCTTGGCTGGCTTCTGATGATCGAGCGCCTCATTATTTCATATGCCCCATTTTTCAGGTTAGTCAGGTTCTAACTCTGAGGAAGTTTCTTATCATATTTTCATATGTTGTACCCCCTCTTCCTTGGTTCATACTTATCAGTTTGCTTTGGGTTTGCAGGAAATAATGGAGGATCCACAAATTGCTTCAGATGGCTTTACATATGAAGCGGAGGCTATCAGAGGCTGGCTAGATAGTGGCCATGACACTTCACCTATGACTAATGCGAAACTAGCGAAACATGATTTTATTCCTAATCATGCTCTTCGGTCTGCTATTCAGGAATGGATACAAAATCGCCGCTGTGTGTTAACCCTTTCAGTCAGTACAGGCGTTTAGAGAAAATCTCACACTTCTTTCAGGTTTCCTATTACTCAAAACTTTCAGCTTTGGTTATGTTTGATTTAGATTAATTGTATAGGATTTATTGGTATATGCAACAGTAGATTTTAGTAGGTGTACATACATAAAGTTGATTTGTGCTGTGTGTTGCAGCAATTGAGGTCTAGAATTATGTTAGCATTCTCCCTTTTGTTGTCTTAGATATATTACGTACGAAGTATATGTAAAGAGATTTTACTTCATTCAATATATTTTAAAACTTTTTAACATTCAAGAATGGGCTTACCATGAATTTGCGGTACACGATCATTCTGTTGCACTTTCATTTTGAATCCTGTAATAGTGCCTTGTACTGCGCACTTCAGCTTCTCGTGATATCGTTTATCATAACTTGTGTGCTCAAAGGTCTGTTGCCACTTTTGCAAATTTGAGCGATGCAACATTCTTTTTGGTAAGGTACACGATGAGCTTCGAATGACTCTTTGCTCGGTGGAGTCACTGTCTCATTCTTGTACCTCCAGACCTCCAGTTAAGCTTAACACGCTGCTAGCAGCCTATCAGAATATGTCAAAGGCATAGTAATTTTCAAAGTTATTCGTTGTAGAGACGAGGAAGTAACAATTAACGAGCTAATTTACGACCGCCTCCAAATATTAGTAGGGAGTATATAGAATAGTACGGACAATGGAGTTTATCCTTATAGCAAGTAGAATGACCAAATGAATAATTGGTACCATAGTTTTGTGGGCATCTATGCCTATAAATTTGGTCTTCCTTTTTTTTTTTTTTTTTTTTTTTTTTTTTCGAAAACACCTGCGGATAAACATTAAAGGAGATCAATTTCCGCCAAAGTTAATAGACTTTGGGGAAAAGGACCTAAACAAACACGTTCAGTACAATCACTAGTATTCCATCTAGCTACATGGTGTGCTAGAGTATTACCCGCACGTTTAACATGAGACATAGAGAAAGCAACAAAAGAACGAGAAAGGGAACACACATCATCAATAATTAAAGAGAAAGGGGTGTAATTTCCAGCCATCTTCACCTTAACCCCTTGTGCTACCACAATTGCATCACTCTCCAGCACAACAGCAGGGAAGCCGAGTCTAGTAGCCAGCTGAAGCCCATATCGACACGCCGCAGCCTCTGCAATATCTATAGACCACCCAACTGCCCCCTGTTTCACAGCAGCAGCCAGAATTTTCCCTTCCTCATCTCTAATCACCACCCCTAGCCCCACCCTCCTCCCAATATGAGCATCACAGTTTACTTTCACCACACCCCTACAAGGACAGGACCAAGCATTGAATCATGAAGACATTCTTGGCATAATCCACATACTCGTGGACTGATTTGACTAAATTCGATGCAATGCTTATGGGGCATGGGTATTCCTGCTCAAAAACAGCTTTGTTACGACACCACCAGGCAGCCCAAGCTAGTGTTGCGATCGTTCTCAACTCTTCATTCGTGGTCTTCGAGGCTAACCATAAGAACCTTGCACAGAAGCTTGATGAGGGAGCTTGTTCAATCAGCGCTGTAACATTACTGGCAGCTCATATATCAGAATCGGCCTTACAGGCAAAGGTGGCATGAAGCACTGACTCATCACCCGTACCACAGATTGTACAGCACTTATCGTTAATCAAATGGTGATTATATAACCTTTCACGCACCGCAAGGAAAACTTTACATGCCCTCCACAGGAAATGAGCTAGCTTCGGGGGGATTTTCAAGCTCCAAATGATTCGCCATATCTCATCATGAGGTTGTCTTTGGATTGTAGTTGGACCTTGCTTCGCCATCCAGTATCCCGACTTCACAGAGTATTCGCCCCTACATGAAGGCCACCCGTACATACGGTCTTTCACACACCTAACTGATAATGGGATTGACGATATTTGAGCTTGCTCTTCTGCATTGAAGTTATCATTGAGGACCTCCAGACGCCATGACATCGTATTATGGTCGATTAGATCACAAACTCGCAAATCCATATCACTTCCAACCAATGGAGAAGGTACACAAACTGAAGAATTACCAGGCAGCCATGCATAATCCCATACCGAAATATCACACCCATTTCAACCCCTCCAGGAGCAGAGATTTGGCACCCCATATACTTCTCCACGTATAGCTCGGATCATAACCCCTAGCAGCCTCCAGAACATCACAATTTTTAAAATATTTTGCTTTTAGAATAGCATGCACAAGCGTACCTTGGTTATGGTGGAGGCGCCAAACTTGTTTAGCCAAAAGAGCTTGATTGAAACATCGGAGGTCCAGGAATCCTAAACCACCCATATTCTTCGGTTTACATAAATCTTCCCATTTCTGCCAATGTAGTTTTTTTGTCGATCCCGTAGACCCCCACCAGAAACGAGCCAGAAGAGAGTGAATCTCATCAATAATCCCGTCTAGTATCCTCAATAAACCCATCATGTAAGTCGGAATAGCCTGAGCAACTGCTTTGATTAGAATTTCTTTTCCAGGCATCGATAGCAATTTCTCTTTCCAACCCTGTAACTTCTTCCAGAGCCTCTCTTTAATACCAGCAAATATAGCTTTCTTGGACCTACCAATTATCGTCGGCAGACCTAGATACTTTTCATGCCTGTTCACTTCCCGAACCCCTAGAGTATTCACAATTTCAGTCCGACAATTATGACATACATTTTTGCTAAAAGACACTTCAGTTTTATCAAAATTAATTTTTTGGCCCGACGCTCTTTTATATTTGCTAATTATATTAGCTATCACAGAGCACTCTATAGTGTTGGCTTTAGCAAAAAGAATACTATCATTAGCAAAAAAATAAATGTGAGATACGGGGGGCCCCACGACATATTCTAGCACCATGTATCAATCCATCTCTAGCCGCCATATTTAGAAGAGTAGAGAAAGCATCAGCACAGATTAAAAAAAGATACGGAGATATTGGATCACCTTGTTGAAGCCCTCTGGATAGACTTACCGACCCTGAAATCTGCCCATTTATTTTAAAAGCAAATTGGACACTTTGAAGACAGTGCATAATTCTGCCAATCCAAGCTCCTGAGAACCCCATTTTCTCCATTACCCTCTCTAAAAACACCCATTCCACCCTATCATATGCCTTACTCATATCCAGCTTTAGAGCAAAACTTTCATCCTTGCCTTCCCCACCCCTCTTCATAGCATGAAAAATCTCAAAAGCCACAAGTGCATTATCAGAGATGAGTCGCCCCGGAATAAAAGCACTTTGGTTAACTGAGATCACCTTGTTTAACACCATCTTTAATTTATTAGCCACTGTTTTCGAAACAATTTTATAGATAAATTTGGTCTTCCTCCTTTTGTAATCGTTTAAATCAGGGTTAAATTTGGATGATTACATTTCAATAAAAAGAATAAAATTACCTGTATTAATTATGTTAAAAATAATTACTCTTTATTACTTGTACTTCCTATAAAAAGTTGATATGAGTCTAAGTATCCGAACTAAATTTGTGGCAAGGTGTAATTAGATATGTCTTATCTAATTAAATAAAACTTACAGAGTTCAAAGTATGGAGTATTTTTTTTTTAATATAGTTTCTCTAATTAAATAAACAAATCGATTAGATAAAACTTATCCAATGACATATTATTACAATAAAATTATATCAAATTCAAAGTTATCATCTAAAAAAGTTAAAAAGTTATTTAAAATTAGCTAAAAATTACCTTGAATGTAATCCACTCGTAATATTATCGTAGATCGAGTGTATACAAATTTTTTTCTTTTTCTTACTAGTTATAGTAATCACCTTTCTGAAAAAAAAATAAAAAAAAATTATACTAGTAATCAAACTGTGAAAAAGAATCCTAAGTAAAAAAGAAAAAAGTTACTCTGTTGACCGTGTAATAGTTTAGTAACTTTTATAGTTCTATATCATCACAAAATTTAAACCCTAATTTACTGCGAATTCGGAAACTCAATTGATCATCTTTGGTGTTCAATTCAGTTAAATTTTACCAAGTTTTTGTCTTTAGATTACAATCTCAGCCCTAATTCTTCTGTATTTTTGCAGAATTGTTTCGTCTCAGAATTAATTACAAGATTACAGAGCATGCATTAGAGAAATTATGGAGAAAAAATTATACATAGCAATTGGGAAAAACAATGAAATACGATCAACCTTATTTTGGGCTTATAATAATTTTTTAAACGGGAAGACAAATCTTACAATTTGTCTTATTCATGTTCATGTTCCTACCCAAATCAGATGTTCTCCTAGAAGTAATTATGATTATCTAACCTTTTTTTTTTTTTTTTTTTTTTGTGTGTGTTCATATCAAATTTGCATATGTACCAGAATTTGAATTTTGCTGATGATTTTATTTTAGAGGATTTTCCAGCTTCTGTTATGGCAATCAGAGAAGTCGAGGACAAATTGTATAAAGAATTGGAAAGACAAGAGGTGGAAAATATGTTAGATAAATATGTTCAGATAATTATAAGTTTTCAGGTATGAATCGTATGATCCTTTAGTTCCCGATGATGAAACTATTTTATTGTGTCTCGGGCGATGTCACGGGTTATTGTTGCTTGCTTCATTGGACGAGTGACTGGAAATTTTTTGTGATTCGTGTATGTGTTGTGGTGTAAAAAGTTTTTAGTAAAGATTATGTAGCAGATTTTATTTATTTAGTGTAATTATTTTAACATGCCTTAAATATGTGATTCTATTAATAGATGCATTAAGAATAAGTTTGCAACAAAAAAAAAAATTGTCCAGAATAAGTTTGCATTTGTGAGTCTTGTTGTTAATCAACGATATCATCAATCTTACGTTGTTGTGTGAATGGCTCTTTCCATCTCCCTTATGCTGTGTGTTTATTTGTTTTCTCCCACCTTCTCTTAGTTCTTGATTTCTCTAGTTGTCATTTATGTGCCCCTTTTTGCAGGTTCCGTCTGAAAAAATCTATATCGAAAAGGAGTCTGTAGCTGATGGAATATTGGAACTCATATCTCAGTTAGGGATACAGAAATTGGTTATGGGTGCAGGAGCTAACAGCAGATTTGTGGGGTACAAATACTAGTACATTTTTTGATATTGTATATTCATATGCACTTTCATATTTTGTGTCTGTTATTTTACAGTTTTTGATTAAGTGTGACACCTTATGATATTAGTGACCAAATTCTATGCAGTATGCTCTGAGCAAAGACAGATACTATAACATATTGTACGTGTTTTGATGCAAATGCCCTGATATCTATTGCAGGAGTTCAACAAAACCCGCCTCAAGAAAGTCTAATTACGTGCTTCAACATGCTCCTGATTTCTGTCATATCTTCTTTGTATCTGAGGCTCGTCTAATCTATGCAAGGTATATGCACTAATTAGAAAATAGTCTTACAATCTGTCCATCACCTTATAGACCTGGTTTCATTTAAAATCACCGTGTCTACTAGCTTCAAATCTCTTGAATTGACTTGTTTGTATGGTATCACAAATATACTTACTGGCTACAAGATTGATATCGAGGAGGGATTCTTTGGGTGATAGATTAGGTATTTTCTTGCAGATAGGTTGTGGATTATTTGCTTGCATTAAGTTGTATCTCAAAGAAGCATAACATTATATTTCCTCTGTTCAGAATCAATTGTTACATTGTCTTAATCTCTGTTGTAGAGATTAAATGCACGTACAAAATAAAAAATTTCTTTTTTTTAATTTTTATTTTTGTGTCTGTATCTTCTATATAATGATTGTAATTATCAAAATTGATAAAGAAATATCAATTTTGCAATTACAGAACTTTTAATGTTTTTTTTATTTTATTTTTTTATGACTATATCTTCTTTATAATGATTGTAATTATCAAAATTGATAAAGAAGTTTGAATGTTGAATAAGGGTAATGTGGAATTGAATAAAATTTGCGGTTAGTTATCTTGGTGGTACCATGAACTTTTACTTGAAATGAAGTATCATGTTCATGGTTGATTACAAATTGAAATAGATTCTTGACATTGAATGGAATTCTATTCTTTTATTTAATAAGTGCAGCATTTGGTAGTACCATGTGAATGTCAATAAACTAATTTACATATGGTGTATGTGTATGTTTGCACCAAGACAAATTATAATTTATTTGGATTGTTAAATTAACATGAGTGATATTTTAACTTGGTAGAAGCTATAATAGTTGTGGGAAATCCATCTAAAATTACATTTGATAGTTCCTTATTATATGTCATGGTTTTTTTTTTCTTTAATTTAGTATTTAACAACCTGTTATATTTCGTTTTATTTTCTTCTGAAGTTACTAAAAAACTACCAATTGATTCCATTCTCAAATTCTGATTGGTTGGATCAGTGTTGCAGTAATGGAGTTGCTCTACGTGGACTACCTTTTGGCTTGATTGCTTCTTAAAATGTTGTCTTTGATCTTCGATCATTTTGGTGACATCGTATATTGTAAGTAAATTAGTCTTAGATTTTCCTTTGAGAGTTGGAGTGATTGAGCGTGTTAACTTTCTTTTTTTTAACTTTAAAATTTTTAAATTGAATTTGTGGAATGATGGCTATATTAGTAATTAGTCTATTATACTTATCTACTCTGTATTGTGTTTAATTTTTTTTTTTTATTTTGTTTTTTGATCTTACTTATATTTTTAGTGTTATAAATTGGATATGACATGACACGAGTTTGTTTATTTGTTGGATATATAACACCTTTTCATCCCCTCATTTTTGTATATCAAATAAACAAAGTACAAGATTCACAAAAAGGCAATTTGATTTTGCTAATCATGCTGTATTTTTGGTTAAATTTGGCAATGTTTAATGTTGTCCTATTGGATTTACGAACCTTATTGGTGCTTAATCGGTGTGGTAATGTAGCTTCCCCGAGATCGAATGTATTTAATAGCGTCTTAGAGTTACCCCTTTTAAGGTGGTAATATTATTAGTAGCTTTTAAAAGTTGTAGTATGGTATTTATTCTTTGTTTCTCGAAGATGTACTTTTACTGTAGTTTGATTTACTAAATTAGAAAATAAATTTATTCTCATAGTTTTTCGGAGATGTACTTTCATAGATAAAAATCAATAAATAAATAAAAAAATAAAAAAATGTTAAAGAATTTACCGATAGAAAAGTTTTGATTAATAAAAGGAGCAAAAGAGTGAAAGAAGATGGGTGAAATTGTTGTAGTGTTATCATTGTATTCTTACTTCTATGGCATTGTATTTATAGCCATGAGTTACACTAATAATACAATAATTACTCACATAGAGCCATATGAGTTCACAAGTGTTTGGACCTATATGAGCATTGTGTAATCAAATCAATAATTGGCATTCACTTATTAGACTTATCTTCTAACACTTCCCCTTGAATGCCACTAAAAATCTTGTTAGGTAAAACTTTATGGGATAAGACCCATAGCCAAAAGAGTACACCAATATTATTGTATTATATGCTTTGGTATACTGCCTCGTTAAAAACCTTGTCAGGAAAAACCCGGTGGGATAAAAACCTGATCGAAGGGAAAAAGAGTGCAGTACATATAATACTCCCCCTGATCTCAGCATAGTTCACGAAGATGTCGCATTCCGATTTTGTGAACTAACTGTTCAAATTTCTTCGAAGGAAGTGATTTGGTGAAAAGGTCGGCAAGATTTTCACAAGACTGAATTTGCTGGATATTTATTTCCTCGTCCTTTTGCAAATCATGTGTGAAGAACAGTTTTGGGGCAATATGTTTCGTTTTATCTCCTTTAATATATCCTTCAGTTACTTGAGCGATACATGTTGTATTGTCTTCAAAGAAGATGGTTGGGTCTTCTGTTATTGCGTTCATTCCACACTCCTTTTGGATATTACTGATCATCGACCTCAGCCACACACATTCCCGTCCTGCTTCATAGAGGCTATCAACTCTGCATGATTTGCTGATGTCGCGGTCAATGTCTGCTTTGTTGATTTCCATGATATTGCAGTGCCGCCATAAGTGAATACATATCCATTTTGTGACTTGGCATTTTGAGGATCTGATAAGTATCCAGCGTCTGCATACCCAATGAGAGCAGCATCTTGTTTTGGTTGGTGATATAAACCAAGGTCTTGTGTCCCTCGTAGGTACCGGAGTAAGTGTCGAACTCCCTTCCAATGCCTATATGTTGGTGCATTGATGTGCCTCGCTAACAAATTCACAGAGAAAGCTATGTCGGGTCTAGTATTGTTAGTTAAGTACATTAAGGCTCCAATTGCACTTAAGTATGGTACTTCTGGACCCAGAATCTCTTCATTTTCTTCTCGGGGTCTGAATGGATCATTTTTCATATTCAAAGAACGAACAACCATTGGGAAGTTGGTTGGGGTTGCTTTGTCCATGAAGAAACGTTTCAAAACTCTTTTTGTATAGTTTGATTGATGGACAAAAATGTCATGACTCAAGTGCTCAATTTGTAGTCCAAGGCAAAATTTAGTTTTCCCAAGGTCTTTCATCTCAAATTCTTTCATCAAGTATTTTGCAGTTTTCTCGAGTTCATTTGGGGTTTCGATGATATTTAAATCATCAACATAAACTGCAATGATAGCGAATCCTGATTGTGATCGCTTTATGAAAACACAGGGACTAACTTGATAATTTTTGAATCCTTCTCTCATAAGGTATTCACTCAGACGGTTGTACCACATCCTTCCAGATTGTTTCAATCCATAAAGTGACCTTTTTAGTTTTATGGAAAGCAGTTGTCTAGGCTTGTGCTTTTCTGGTAGTTTTAGTCCTTCGGGGACTTTCATGTAAATGTCCGTATCGAGTGACCCATACAAATACGCAGTCACTACATCCATTAATCGCATTTGCAGTCCTTTTGTGACTGTCAAACTTACCAGAAATCTTAATGTAGTTGCATCAACCACTGGAGAATATGTTTCTTCATAATCAATCCCTGGAATTTGAGAAAATCCTTGGGCTACAAGTCTTGCCTTGTATCTAACTATTTCATTTTTCTCATTACGTTTTCTTACAAATACCCATTTGTATCCAACGGGTTTTACACCTGCTGGTGTAAGGGTTATTTTCCCAAAAACTTAGCGTTTTTCAAGTGACTTTAACTCAGCCAGCATTGCCTCCTTCCACTTTGGCCAATCACTCCTACGTCGACATTCTTCTACAGTTCTTGGTTCAACATCATTTTCATCAGACACGATGTCGATTGCGATGGAATTTGCAAATGTTTCATTAACGATAACATCTTTCCTATTCCACTGAGTCTTTGTAGAGACGTAATTCATTGAAATTTCATTGTTATCGATGTTTTGAACATCTTGTTCATTCCCCGTAGGGTTGTCTTCTTGTTCGTCCCCTTTTGGATTATCATCATTTTCTTTACTTTCATCCACATTTGGTCTTTCTTGACCTTCTGACGGGGGAACATTATTAGTCTCATTTTCTATTCCATCCAATCTTTTTAGTTTCCTTGGCTTATAATCTTTTGAACCAAGTGGTCTTCCACGCTTTCTGCGTGCCTGAGATTCATTTTCTATGGCCTTATTACCAGTTGGGATTTCAATACGTGCAGGGGCATTTTCTGCTGGTATATGTGATTTTGTCACCTTCTTTGTGTCTACAAATGCATCGGGCAATTGATTTGCAACACTTTGTAAATGAACAATTTTCTTAACTTCTTGTTCACACATATTTGTTCGTGGGTCTAACATCAACAGTTGTTGTTTCGGGGTTTTTTGATGTGTCCTGCGGGAGAGTTACAATTCCAAGAATGCCCTTCGACGCCTGTGCCTGCAAAATCACGAAGACTCCTGGGGGTAGGAGCTCCGCCTCCGACGATCAAGTTAGTAAAGATACGGGAGGTAGAATGCACGTAATGTAGAAGTTGCTTCTCGCGTAATGGGAGAATTCTGCAATTAATATTGCTCGGGGTAAGTGTTTTTCTTTTTGAGGAGTATTCAATGTGAACAACAAATGTTCCAGCCCCCATTAATGAGGGTCCTTCCACTATTTATAGTGGGGAAGGGATGGTTTCCCTTTTAGGGTTTAGAGGACACGTGTCAGCAGAGGATTGGAGCCCTGCTGACCAACGGCTGGATGCCACGTGTCACTAGGCCATTGGGCCACGTGTTTAGGGTATTTTTACCCCAAACATTTGCCCCTCACTGGTGCTGACGTGGCAGGGTGCCACGTGGCGCCGGTGAAAGGTTTTTTTTTTTTTTTTTTTTTACAACTCTTCAGATTCTTTTTGAAGGATGGAAAAGCAGAAGGCGAAGAGTCACGACTTTTCACCTTCTGGGACAAATTCTATAAATAGGAGAAGATGTCCCCCGAGCTCTCATTTACAAACTTTGCCAAATTTCTGAAAATTTGAGAGCAGCCGGCAATTTGAGAGTTGAGAGCATTCGGAGTTGAGATTCGTTGAGAGCAACCGGTCTACAGACCGTCTGGGTCGTTGCAAGCTAGCCAAAGGTTTTCGAGAGGGTAATCAGAGAAACCCAGCCGGATTTTGAACCGCCTGCGTCTTCGCAAGCATCCCAAAGA